GCTGATCTCGAACTCACAGAGATCCACCTGCCTCTCAAGTGCTAGAGCCCGGCTTTGCCTATAGCTCTTAATCTATAGCTAGAGCCCGGCTTTGCCTATAGCTCTTAATCTATAGCTAGAGCCCGGCTTTGCCTATAGCTCTTAATCTATAGCTAGAGCCCGGCTTTGCCTATAGCTCTTAATCTATAGCTAGAGCCCGGCTTTGCCTATAGCTCTTAATCTATAGCTAGAGCCCGGCTTTGCCTATAGCTCTTAATCTAGAGGTGGGACCCTGTAAGATCCCTCTATCCATGTTGGAATGTCAATTGTTGTTGTCATTGTACAAATCTTGTTCAGTTTTTCCAAGGGAGGTAGAGTGTTTTAAAAGCTCAGTTACACACACCTAAAATAAAAGTAAAGACAGTGTCATAGGGGAGTATAGAAAAGTTAGGGGATGTAAGAGATTTCACAAAGAGGTGTTTATTTCTATTGATGTTTTGTTTCTCTAGCTATAATGAGTTGAATCAGACCCTGAGCCCCAAGCCTCTTGTGATGAGTAAGTTATCTTTAGCGCTTCTGGTGAGATGGTAGGAGGAAGAGGCTCTGGTAGGTGCCCATTGAATCATCATTGTGAGATGGTACTAAGTAGCCACATGTTCAGAAGAGGACTGACAAAGTGATTTTACTGAAGTTTACTTTTGTGAGTTTTTCTCGGATTTCTACTGTGTATTAAAAACACTGTGCAGAGACAAGAACAAATAGAACTATCCCCTCTGTCAGTAATCAGCAGAGGGCTTGAACACAGTAATATAGCTAAGTACAAAATAAGACAGAGTAGTGATTGGAATGTAGGAGACTAAACAAAAGGCTATGACAACCCAGAGGAAGCCATTGTCATGGTATTTTCTGCTGTAAATCAGTTAAAGCTTCATACAGGAAGTGATATTTGACTGGAGCTTGAAAATGAGTGGCATTTTGAAGGTGGAAAAGATAGGAGCAGGCCTGGTACAGGCAGGAAGTAGTATAAAGAAAGACATGTAAACACAGGATGTGAGCCCTTAGTAATGGAGACTAGTCAGGGCTAAGTTGGAGAGCTATGTATGGTAGGGCTGGCTGTGATGGACTTTAATGACAGTGCTGCAATAAAGATATTCTGTAAGCAGAAGAGAGCCGCTGTTTTTTCTTTTTCTTTTTCTTTTTCTTTTTCTTTTTTTCCAAGGAGGTAATAGGATCCTATTTTGTATGACAGTCACTGGGCTCTGAATGAATAGCTTAGAGGGAAACTAAGTGGCATAGGTAAGAAGCATGGTGACTCTTGATCAGAGATGAGAAAGGCATGTAGAAGACGGTAGACAGGAATGGGGGCCAGAAAGATGCCTTTGCAATTCAGAACACTTGCTGCTCAATCCTGAAGACCAGAGTTCAAATCCCTGCACCTATGTCAGACAGCTCACAAAGCCTGAAACTCCAGCTCCAAGAGACCCATTTCCCTCTGTTGGTCTTCATGGGCACCCACACAGATATGTATGCGTATACCTACACCCCACATACATAAATTTAAAAAGAAAGATGAGAGACGGAAACAAAATGGGAGAGATGGGATTCAAGACACACAAGATAGAGGTTATGAGCATTATCCAACTCAAAGGGGGAAAAGGAGAGAGGAGCTAAAGGTGATGCCAATGTCTTTAGTCACAGGTAGGTCGACTGTTAGTGAGCCCCATGGGAGCATCACTGGAAGAGCAGACTTGATTTTGGAAAATGGTCTTCTTACAGGTGCTGGGAATCCAGGACAGGAACTTAAGACTCATAAGGTGAAGTTTCCCAGTTGAGGGAGAGTACAAGCTGTGGTTCCTGAAAAGTTAACCCCGAGGAGATACAGAGCATGGAGAGGCAGTCAAAGCCAGCAGGTCCTCACTAGCAAACTCCTTCTCTGGCAGTTAGAAAGAAGGAATACAGAGAGCCAAAGGAGACATAGCTGCCAGCAGGAGGGTAAGGGCTCAGGAGAGGCTCCAGATGGGTAGGTACCCAGCCTTCAGGATGATAGGGTTGCAAGGAGTGTGGTGTGCATGGGGCAAGAGGGAATTCAGCCTGTCCCAGGGGCTGTCAAGAAATCAGAATATTTATATACTGTGGCCTTTATCTTTAGACCTGCCTTGCTTGGTTTTTGTTTGTTTGTTTAGACAGTATCTCACTGTGTGACTGTGGCTGGCCTGTAACTCTCTATATAGACCAAATCTATCTGCCTCTGCCTCCCAAGTCCTGGGATAAGGTAGGTCACCATGCTCAGCAAACTTGACATTTGTTTCTTTGTTTTTGTTTGTTTGTTTGTTTGTTTGTTTTGAGCCAGGGTTTCTGTGTAGCCCTGGCTGTCCTGGAACTCAGAGTTCTGTCTGCTTCTGCCTCCCAAATGCCAGGATTAAAGGCATGTGCCACCACCCCCAAAGCCTGCCATTCTTGTCTGGTATTTTAGCATCGTTCCCAAAGATGGCTCCTCTGTGTCCTTCTATGCCTTAGACTAGTGAGAAGAGGAGAAAATGGAGGCAAGGCTGTTAAAACAGAACTGAAGTTAAAATGAAAATGTTCTTTGTTCAGTTTGTAAATAAGTTGCATTATCTTCATTTTGAATACATCACCTCAATAATAACAATGCCACATTTTCTAGTTTTTAAGTGGTCATAAATATATTTGTAAAATGTCATATGAAAGGCGCCCATGTATTTCAAGCACTAGGCCAACTGGTGGGTTCCTACAAATGAGATGTGGCACCTACTCCAAAACCAGAAGGAAAAATAATGGTGGAAACCATATCAGGAAGACCAGTGTCCTTAACCCTGTCTCAGTGCTACTGTAGTGAACTACCAGGCTATATAGAAAAGGGACAGAAGCAGGTGCCTCACAGGAAGCTGCCTAGTTACCCAGTCTTGCTCAAACCTATGGTCTGTGGTCATCATCTCAGGACCAGTTTTGTGAAGATACAAAGTCACTGGTGCTTTGTAGAGTAGACTTGACTCTTGTTATCAGGTTTGTATCCAGCCTGCCTGTCTTCCTGTAGAAGAGAGACTCAAAGTCCGTAGGACAGATGCCAAATGGAGGTCAGTGAGGCTTTCTGCTGCTTTTAGTGGCCCACTGGACACTAAAAGTGAACAACCAGTACTTTCATCTGGGTGTGGTAACTCACACCTGTAATCCCAGTACTCAAGAGGCAAAGGCAGGAACCATGAATTCAAGGCCAGCCTGGTCTATATAGACAGCTCCAGGCAAGCCAAGGCTGTAAGGTCCAAATAAAGCCGGGGGGTTGGGAGGGGCAGGTAGAGCTTTTTGCATCAGTGAGACTGGGAGTGAAAGGAAAAGTATAGGCTCAGGACACCCAAGAACAATTCTCAGCAAAAGGAGATTTATTTGCCCCACAGGGACAGAGAGCAGGGAATAAGAGACAAAGACAGGAGATAGAGGGAGAAGGGAAAGGGAGCAAGGGAAATGAGGTAGGATATTTGTCCCAAAGGCTCAAAGGACTGCCTCTGTTTAGAGAGGAGACAGACATGGCCTGTAGGAAAGGGACATTCTATAAAGGTCAGGGGCAAACCCATGTTAGGAAGAGGCATTTAATCTTAATTGCACATGTTAATTGGTTGAGCCAAAGGGGGCTTTTGATTGTTGGACTACAATACTTTGAAAGCTGGGCCTTGATTGTCAGCCTCAGGAAGAGGACGTGGCCTAATAAAGGGAATGTAATCTAACTTTTTTTTTTCTGCAAGGCAGAGGGAATGGGGGAGAAGGACAAGGCCTGCAGAGCCATGCCTGCTGTGTTTGAGCTGGCCAGAGTTCCTTCAGGGGGTGTAGTTCAGGGTAGAGTCTATACTCTACCCCTGTCATGGGTGAGGGCCTGTGTTCTAAATCCAGTACAATTGAAAAAGTTTCCCAGCATGGGTCTCCTCTCCCTTCACCTCTCCTCTTTCCCTTCCCTTTCTTCCCAAGATCCACACATGCAAGGCACGTGCTGCACCTGACCTGTTCCCTAGTTCCATCAAGCTCAGGTGGCTGACTGTTCACTTCCTAAATTTGCTATTTCAGCTTGGTGACATAGCCTGTGCTCCGCTGACCAGAGACTAGTGTTTTATGGGTTGATGACATGTCTATTGTCTACTTGCCTTTCTAGACTTTGGCTTCAGCAATCTCTTCACTCCCGGGCAGCTACTGAAGACATGGTGTGGCAGCCCTCCCTATGCCGCACCAGAGCTCTTCGAAGGGAAGGAGTATGATGGGCCCAAAGTGGACATCTGGGTAAGTATTGCCCTTCTTACCACCCTGTTGCTCTCTCTAGATGACAGCTGTCCTGCTAGAGGACACACAGTTCCAAATGTGAGTGGAGAGCACCTTCACATGTACTTGCAATGTATTTGCAACCCCTCCCCCCCATCCACATGCCATCTCTTCTCCTGTACTCGACTCACATGAGCCTTGGATTTGAACGCTGTAAGGGCCTGAGTGGATGATGCCTGTGCCAAGAACAGGGATTATTCTTCCTGAGAGCTGAGTTCTGAGAAACATTGGGGATCTCACCCAGAATTCCTGTCTGGAAGTAAAGAAGACTTAACTGCTCTGGAAACTATTGACCTTGATAGTGACCCATATTATGTCATAAAGATAGAAAAGTTGGTTCCATCATCTTCACATATCCTCTGATGAGTTAACTGTCCGTGCTCTCTGTTTGGGATGCAGAGTCTTGGCGTTGTCCTCTATGTGCTTGTATGCGGCGCCCTGCCATTTGATGGGAGCACACTGCAGAATCTGCGGGCCCGAGTGCTGAGTGGAAAGTTCCGCATCCCATTTTTTATGTCCACAGGTAAGGGAGTTGCCAGCACAAAGCTGTGACTGGGTTCATGGAGAGTTGGGCATGTTAAGTAATTTCAGAAGGGTAGCAATGGTGGGTAAATGGGCTGCTTTCTCAACTGCAGTTTGCCCTAGTTCCCCTGAGAGGCAAGGTTCTGCAGGAGCAAGGTAAACAACTAGCTTTGGCTCAAGGAGCCTTCTCTGTGCTTGAATCTGGACTCTGTTCAGTACAAGTTTGTCTGAATGTTCATTTTCTCAGTCTGTAAATTGACTGAGAGTTTTGTGTTGCCCCTAATTGTGTGGATTAGATGAATTGATGTTTATTGAGTCAGTGGTCCCATCGCTTAGTGGTGGTAGGATCAACATTTGTCTTTTGATCTGTCCCCCACACCCTTTCACTGAAGTAAGTACAAGAATTCCTTTGTTGGGCCTCGGATACCCAGGACAAAGCAGGATTTGCATCTTAGTCCTGGTCTCATTTCCTAGTTCTATCTGTAGTCTGCCTTCAGATTCTAATTTTTTTTTAAATCCCTTTAAGTGAGTGGACAGTAAGATAATTAGCTTTGGAAAAGTTTTAATACTGAAAACAGACACCAGATTTTTATAGTTGCCTGACAGCTCAGAACCTACATGGGTTTGACTTTGGTTGGGGCAGGAGCTGTTTGTTTGGTTTGGGCTTTTTTTCTTTATTTCTTCACCATTTCTATGCATGTAAGAGGTCATGTCTGAGCCAATGTAGAGCAATGTCTGTGCCCTTTGTCTAGCTACTTCCTCTTAAGGAAAGCATGCATACCTTTAGAATAAGTAGGTGGAATGTGGGCTAGCTTTAACTGAGTCATCTCAGAGTTGGTGGCTTGGGAGGAAGTGGGTCAGGTGATGATAAATGCTCTGGGAAGATGAAGTGGAAACCTTTAGGATGGTGGGCGGGAGATCATTCAAAGGCGTACAGTTGGGAAGATGCGGGAGGGCCGCAGTCGGAAGACCTCAGGGAGGTAGCAACTCAGGGTGTGCCTGAGAGAGTTCAGGATGAAGAGAGAAATCTGAGGGACGGGGGAGCTAATTCTAGGGCCTCACCAGCAGGTGTAAAGACCTGTTTGCTTTTACTCTGGTGTAAGGGGAAGAATTAGAAGCTCTTAACAGAATAATGATATGGTCTTACCTATGGGGGTTTCTTCTACATTGTTTTGTTTTGTTTTGTTTTGTTTTGTTTTGTTTTGCTTTGTTTTGTTTTTCTAGACAGGGTTTCTCTGTGTAGCTTTGGAGCCTATCCTGGCACTCGCTCTGGAGACCAGGCTGGCCTTGAACTCACAGAGATCTGCCTGCCTCTGCCTCCCGAGTGCTGGAAAGGTATGCACCACCAACACCTGGCCTCTTCCACATTTTTATTATGAAAATTTTCAAATAAATTTTGAAGATTTTGTAGTAGCTTCTAAAGACAATCACTGTAGTTGCTATACTGCTTGTTGAAAGGAGACTGTAGTGCAGTGCTGTATAGTGTAATGCAGTGCTGTGCAGTAGTGCTGTGCAGTGGTATGTGGTGTGCTTTCCTGTGTAGTGTAGTGCAGTGCTTTGCTGTGTAGTGTAATGCTGTGCTGTGCAGTGCTGTGCAGTGCTGTGTAGTATAGTGCAGGCCCATTGAAGGCACTTGTAGCAAGGGAGACTGGTTGGTGGGAGACTTAGAAGAGAACACATGAGCGCTGCAGTTGGCTGCTCCCAGACTGAGGAAAAGAGGGATTGGGGGAACATTACTGCATACTGCACAGCAGGCATGTTGAAAGCATTTTACAAACATTACCTTCCCTCAGTATTATGAGCTTCATAAGGTTGTCACCCCTACTTTACAGATGATACAGAGGTCAGGAGAGGTTACGCAATTGTCCCTAGATAACACAGCTAATAAGTGGCTGAACTAGAATTTGAACCCAGGCAGCCTGTCTCCAATAATGTTTGGTATTGGATTTTATGTAAAGAAAGACTAATTACAGGTAACCCTACGGTTTTTTTTTTTTTTTTCCTGAGCAGCAGAAAGAATTGGAATAACTGGGGGAAAATATTTAAAATTTTGGAGAGATGGTTTTACGAATGTCAGGTTGGAGGTGCCTATTAGCCATTTAAATTGAGGTTCTGGTCAGCAGTTGAATTTAGGAATGATTACTAACTAAAGATGTCTATTTGAAACTTATCAAGTATAATGTCTAATGCTGCCAGATAAGTTCACTCTCTGGGCATGGAAGAGGTGCCAAGAATTTTTAGAGATTAACAAAGTGACAGGGGTTGGAAGAATGGTTAGTGAGGAAAGCTGGAGCCTGCTTGTCTTGAAGACAAGTGAAGATGTTTCAGGATAGAGGGAGTGGGATGCTATGGGAGGCTGAGGCAGAGGGCAGAGAACTGACTGTTGAACTGAGAAGAGTGGAGATCACTGGTGAGGTTTTGAAGCAGCAGGAGCAGGCACTCAGATAGTGTGTGCATTACAGGAGAAGAACAGAAGGAACAGACAAGAACCAAGCCTCAACTTTTCCTAGCTTGACTGTACAGTGATGGAGGCAGAGAAGTGTGCACTGAGTGGCTCTCTCTGTGGTCATCTGATGTCCTAACAGTAGCTGTATTTCCTCGTTGGCTTAGTGACTGCCCAATAGTATTTAGCACTTTACCATTCCCTGCTAGGAAAAAAAATAGAACACTTTATGTTCACAGAAGAATTGAAATGAAGGGACAGAAGATGTCCATATGCCCTCTCCCCACAGCCTCCCTGCTACCCACCCGACACACGCGCGTACAGACACACACACACACACACACACACACACACACACGCACACGCACACGCACACACACACACACACACACACACACACACACACAGTCACTCAGTGCCTGTAGTTTACATTAGGGTTCATTGTGGGAGTTGTGAGTTACTAGGTTATGACAAGTGTATAAAGACATTTATCCACCAGGATCATCATACAGAGTAGCTTCACCTCCAAGATGATCCTGTGTGCTTCTGTCCTCCTTTTTCTCCTCCCTCTCTCTCCCAACTGGCAATCATTGGTCCTTTCATTGCTTCCATATATTTTTACTTACCCAGAATGTGATATGATTGGAAACAAACTGTGTGTGGCCTTTTGCACTGACCTTTCCCTTAGGAACATGTACAGGCATATAAGGTCTCTTGTGTCTTGCTAGCACATTTCCTTTTAATGCTGGGTAATACTCCCTTGTTTGGATGTATCGCAGTTTATCCTTTCGCCCACTAGTGAGTGTCTTGGTTGCTTTCCAGTTTTGACAGTTACAACTAAGGTCACTGTGATGTCCTTGTACAGAGTTTTGTATGGACCACATTTTCAGTTCACTTGAGTAAACTCCAAGGAGCCTGACTGAGGCCATGTGGTAAGAGCTTGTTTAGATCTGTAATAGACTGCCCAACTGCCTTCCAGAGAGCTGTGTTGTGTTGTGAATGAGAGTTCTTACTGCTGCACACCTCGCCAGCTCTTTCATTTTAGTGTTGGGCGTGTCCCCTCTCACATGTGTGTAGTGGTTCTCATTTTAATTTGCAGCTCTGGGGTCTGTGATTATGAGCATCTTTTCATTTGCTTATTTGCTATCTGAACATCTTTCTTGAGGTGCCTCATCAACTCTTCATTGTTTTTCTTCTCAAGAGCGTCTCACAGTGTTTTCCAGGCTGCCTTTGAAGAGCTTAGGCAATCCTTCTGCCTCAGTTTCCCAAGGATATGAGATTGTACTCTCTTTTTTTTTTTTTTTTTTTTTTGAAGCAGGGGTGGTGGGGTGGGGAGTTCTCTGTGTAATAGTCCTGGCTGTCCTGGAACTAACTTCTATAGACAGGCTGGCCTCGAACTCACTGAGATCCTCCTGCCTCAGCCTCCCAAGTGCTGAGATTAAAGGTGAGCACCACCACCCAGCATGATTGCTCATTTTTTGGTTAGGCTTTTTCACTGTCTTCTAAAGTACATTTTTCTTACAGTTTCTGAGACATGTGCTCTCTGTCCCCTGGGTATACTGTCTTAGTTGTCTCTGCCCATTTTTCGTTCATCCTTTATGTCTCCTCTTGTTGGAATAATCTTCTGAGCCATCTTATTTACTGTCATGGTTTCTTCACTGATCACTGTTAGGAACATCCCCCACTTAACTGTCATGCTCCAAATTCTCTTCTGAGATCTAGCACTACATATTCAATCATTTGCTATCTGGCATCTTTTTAAAGCTTTGTTGTTTTTTGTTTTGTTTATTTTTTGAGACAGGATTTCTCTGTAACTTTGGAGCCTGTCCTAAAACTTACTCTGGAGCCCAGGCTGGCTTCAAACTCAGAGATCCTCCTGCCTCTGTCTCTCTGTGCTGGGATTAAAGGCATGCGCCACCACCGCCCAGCTTAAAAACTTTCTTGTTTTATAATGCTGAGAATTGAACCCAGGGCCTTGAGTATATTAGACAGGCACTCTACCACTGGCCTACAAGCTTTTGTAGTCCAGTGTCTTCTCTTTTATTTTTGAAGTCACATTGTTGAAACATTTTCCAAAATGAACTTCATTCCCTCTTCACAAATTTTCTTTGTTTGGTGTCCACTGTCCTAGTAAATTCTATCCCCTTCTGCAGCTTGGTTTAAACAACTCTTGATTGTTTCTTCTCTTAACACCACCACCAGAGCCATTTGATTATCCAAGACAAATGGAAAACCTATTTGTTATCCCTATTCTTGTAGTCACTATATAGAACTTGCTGCCATCTTTCTTTCTTGCCTAAATTAGGCAGTGGACAAAACTGTGGGTTCTTAGTTTCAGCCTTATCTGTTCTCCATGTTGTTGCCTGTGAAACCTTTGTAGACACAAATAATAACTACACCATGTACACATGTGTCCCATGTGCACACACAAAAACACACAAAACTGATCATGTCATTCTGTAGTTTAAAATGTTTTGATGGTTTACCATTGCCTCAAAGTTTATTCCTAATATGGCCAAAGCACTGAATTTCAAGTATTTTTACAAGAGCCATAATAA